TGTAATCTGTCCTCTTGCTGCAGTTTGTGGGAGTGACAGCCAGGCACACATGTTTTGATGAAATGCGCACACAATTTAACAGAACACACGTGTGTACGACATAAACTACTTGTTTTTCTGCATTTATAAAATCAAATGAACAAAACTAAAAATCAACTGGAACAGTTCAATAAAAGTCATTCTTTCGATTAAGTGTATTTTCATCATTTGTCCTCGAGTGTTTTTTCTGAGTAAGGCCGCAATTCCATGTAACACTTTTGGACTTTTACTTTGAAGCCCATGAGCTCATCTCTACTCTTTACTGTTGCCAACGTCACACTGAACAAAATGGCATCTGATAGAAAGGTGTGTTAGCAGAGTGTCTTTGTTGTGTTTTTAAAGTGTAAACATGTCTAAAGTCCAAATGCTGAGAGCGTTGGTGAACACATGACAATGCATACAGGAGAGAAACCATTTAGCTGCTCAATTTGTGGGAAATCATTTACACAAAATGGAACTTTACATAAACACATGAAAACTCATGCAGGAGAAAAGTGATTCAGCTGTTCAGTCTGGAAAAAAAAAATCTCTTTGGAATAAGATTTTAAAAACACTCATGACTGACACAGACCCAAACATTTATGTTTATATGTTTTTAAATGTTACTTACCAAGATCAGTCTTGTACAGCCAGGGGGAGTATTTCCCCTCTGACAGCCAAGCTGGGTCAAAACCTGTTATCCAATGGTGACTGGACTTTTGCTGTTTGTCAGGGGCAGGGCATGCAGCACTTTTGTTCTTTCCTGTACTTGGATCCAGAGCAGGAGAGGTACTCTGGCTGCTAAATGGTAAAGTTGATTTGAACATAGTTTTCTTTTGAGAATCTGCACAAAATAGCCCATAATGATTAAGTGAAAACATCTTTTGAGACATTTTTGTAAAACTGATGTGGATATTGTTTAGGTGACCCTGTTTTTATGTGGCTAAGATAGGTTTTGCTGCTGTCCCCGTCCACAGTCACCAGACTCCTTTGATAGAAACAGCCCTTTTTTCTACCTAGCTCCCATGCCATTTTTAGTCTCTTTTGGGTCCGTCTGTATCATTCTGTGTCCCCTCTTGAAATTCAGAGGTTCTACGGGTTCACAAAGGTAGTGCATGTGGAACTCTTGGTTGGTTGTTTTTGTTGTGTTTTCCCTTAGCAGCAGTAGTATGAGTCATGGGGTGGATAACTGATCAAGAGCTCCAATCAGAGCTGATCTGATCGATGGATGAGAGGAGCAGCTGCTGCAGAGGCGAGTGAAAGCAAGGGAAGTCATAAAGCAACTCAGGACATAAAATAAGCACAGCAGAAATGTCAGACAGGATGAACCATGGTGTTAAACTATATATCTTAAAATGTTTCAGTCATGGCTGAAAATAACAGAAATAAACAGGTTTGCTGAATTTACATATCTCTGCAATTCACAACAGTTTGCAGTTTCTACCTGGAAGGTTTAGATCAAGGTCACGGTGATTCAGTCTGCGAAGACATCATCAACATCCATGTATGCATATGATGTCATCCGGAGACTTTAAGTGACTTTTTGGAGCTAGTGCTAGCTACTTTCATTGGAAAAGAGTTGGCAGCTCTGCCCTACTTGTGAACTGTAGCCAAGAAAACAATACTATTAAGAATCAGAAAGAAATTAACATCTGCCAATGGTTGGATCCACGAACACAGCAGATAACAATGGAGCAACACTCAGCTCTGGAAAAAAGTTATACTGATGGATTATGTGTTAAAGGTTTGATTTTATTTCCTGAATGCTACACTTATGGACTATCTGTGTAAACTGCCCATCAAAATATTAAAGGGGAACTAATGTTTTTTCAACCTGGGCCCTATTTTCCGATCTACTTTTGTCTAAATGAGTGATAGGATGTTCAATATTTGATATTTCTCCAGTACGAAGCTAGGGCTGCCCTGCCTGCAGCCCGTGAGCGCATGCTATATTAAATAATAGGACACTACGAGGGAGCAGTGTTACTTCGGTAGCACACATACTAAAATTGCAACAGGCAGAGGAACATGTCCAAATCCAGCTAAAGGTAAACACAGGTGTTCATTTCTCCTTTCCGTTATGTTGTCAGATAATTATACTAACAATCCGAGCCTATCTGCATAAAAAAATGCACTTTAAGTGGATGTATTTTGACGTTGTTTGACGCTGTCTGAGTGCCCTAATAGTACTGAACATCCTATCACTCGTTTAGACAAAGTAGATCGGAAAATAGGGCCCAGGTTGAAAAACCATTAGTTCCCCTTTAAAGGCTGGATGTAACCATTCTGATGTTACACTTATGGATTCCCTGTGTAAACTGTCTACTAATATTAAGTGATCTTAATTTTGTGTACTTATGTACATGGCCTGTGTGGATTTTATCATTGCCTTTCTCTTTTTCCATCCTTGTAATATTTAGTGAGTTAACTAATGGATTAGGGTATACACTGGAAAGTGCCTCAATGAAGTCACCCCAAGGATTTTTTGCATCTCTCTATCATGTTTCTGTAGCTCATTTACTACTTTTTTTAATTGCATATATAAAAGCGAATGAACTAAACTAAAAATCAACTGGAACAGTTCAATTAAAATCATTCTTTCGATTAAGTGTATTTTCATCATTTATCCTCCTGCATGTTTTTCTGAATAAGCCCGCAATTCCATGTAACACTTTTGGACTTTTATTTTGAAGCCCATGAGCTCATCTCTACCAGAAGCTGTATTCTTGACTGTTGCGAACGTCACACTGACCAAGATGGCGTCTGTTGGAAGTGTGTGTTAGCAGAGTGTCTTTGTTGTGTTTTTAAAGTGTGAACATGTCTAAAGTCCAAATGCTGAGATCGTTGGTGAAGCAGCGACTAACTGCGGCTGCTGAAGAGATATTTGGGCTGTTTGAAAGAACGATAGCAGAGTACGAGGAGGAACTTTGTCGATCAAAAGAGGAGAACGAGCGACAACGGAAACT